TAAGTTTCTCTTTTTTCATAAATAAGTATCTCAGCTCTTCCATGGGTTTGAAAGAACAATGCTTTCTTCCTCTGGGTCAGCTCCTTCTAGGGCTTTTTCAGATCTGCTGGAGCCCCGGGGTCCCTCTATTCCACATCTGAACTTCTCTGTGTACGATCCTTTGTCTCTTCGGTAGCTGGCTCTTGATTTCTCCTGCTCTGCCCATATTCCCCATCTACATCTGAGCCTTTGATCTGCGCCATCATTTGTTTGGGCGTCTGGATTTAAATCCGTGTGAATGGCACATGTCTGGATAATCCATTCAAGGAACTGATGGATCCTCGTTAGCTCTCTGCTCAAGCAGCAGCAAGCTTTCCCTGGGTTCTGGATCCCGAGCTCCGTCTGTGTTCCCTCCTGTTACCCTGCGTCAGTCATCATGTTGTGGTGTCATCAGTCTTTCCTGCCTCCTGTCATCATTTTGTCTCCTGTCACCTGTAATCTGGGACAACTGTACTTCCACTGTCCCTCTTCCCTGCAGTAAGCACGCTGAGTTCTCCCTAGGAGTTCACGCCCCCTGGGCTGCCGCCTCCTGGGTCCTCTCACATTCTGTTGCTGTTCCCCTGAAGCCCTGCCCCGTGCTCCCTCTGTACAAAAATAGTCGCAGGCTTAGGCCTCCTCTCCTCTGTTACTATAAACCCTAAGTGCCAAGTTACTGGCTGGGATGGACTCGTCTCCTCGACGCCACCCACCTTTGCTGACTCTCTTCTGATGTCGGGGGCACTGTGCGCAGTGAGCAGCATAGTGATCAGCATTTTCTGGGGCATCTGGGTTTATATCCGTGTGGGTGGTGAACTCTGATGTTCTTGAGTTGATGTTCAAGCTGCAGAATTTTATTGAAATTCCTTTATTCGAGAATTGCCTGCTGCGGCCCTACCAATAAACACTTTCTATAGAGCTCACCCCCATCGTTGGGATCCTAGTTGGGATCTCCCACGGGGACAGCCACCTCTGGTTCTGGGGTTCTACATCCTGTTGGAGACATCAGCCTCCTCCCTGACTTTCCTGAAAACCCTCCTCTGCTCACAAAGTTTGTAACGTTGACTGGATGTCTGCCCAGCTGGGGCGGTGGGAGAGGAAGATAGAGGCAACCAAGTTTGCTGTCCTCTCAGGATCTGCCTGTAAGGAGGGACTGAGCCCTCCCAGTTCAGGAGGTCTGCAGGGCTGAAGGGTGGAGCCACCAGAAGTCCCCAGCAGGTGTCCGTGTGCATTTAAACCGCCCACTGGCATGTGTCGAAGAGGGAACTGTCCGCTTCAGGTGACTCTTTCTGCCCAAGTGGGAGCCCCGTCTGGTGTGGGAAGGAGAAGCCATGCTGGCTTCTTCCCCAGAGGGCGCTGGGGGCTGTGCAGCCTCGGGAGTCCGCACGGGAGGACCCTGTCCTGCAGAGAAGGATTCTGTCCTGGTGGTTTTCAGGTGCTCAGTGAGGATCAGCCCCCTCTTCCAGTGCTGCCCCTGCAGCCCTCAGGGGCTGCACCCCTTCTCTGTGCCGTGAGTGGGGCCTCTGCCCTGTCCTGGCCCCGCAGACGCTTACAGGCTGACTCACAAGCAGAATGATCTCGTCCCTCACTCTCCATGGTTGAATTCAGAGTCTGTGTTTGCTGCTGCTTATTCTCAGCTGGTGGAGCAGAATGTCCACCCGTAACAGGACCAAGAATGTAGCAAAAGACAGTGACACACATCACCACAACGACACCCAGGGGCACAGGACGTAAAGTGGGGACTGAAAGGATCAGGAGGCTCTGAGCAGTTAAAGGATGCGAGGTCAGGCCACATTTCTAAGTCGGAACTTTATTGCGCTCCCAGGTGAGGGTCACAGACCCCAAATGTTGGTGCCGAGTTAGCACACTACCCCCAGGGCTCCGGGGGATGTGCCCCCAGTTGTGCGTGTCAAGGCGGCCAGGTGATCGGCCGATAAAGCCATCACAGACTTGTGTTTATCTGCCTAAGACGCCACAGGGACGACCTGACCTTTCTCTGCCCTAGCACACTCCCTTGTCAGGGAGTGTCAGCATCTGGCAGCTGCAGGCGGTGTGGCAAGAGAAAATCCCTACTTCCTCCTTTCCCACCTTAATCTTCCACTCCTACTGCCTAATGATATATAAAGGGATCGCTGGAAATAAACGAGAGACTCCTGGATGAAGAACCTCGGCGGCCTGTGTTTTCTTTAAAAACTATTTATATTTGTAGAACTGGTGGTAATATTTAAAGGAAGAAGAGCACTGAAACCCAAGGCTGGGAGAGAGTTGAGAGACCAAAAGCCAGGGGTAAAGCTGTTTACATGTATGGTCGAGGCCAACTTTGTTCCAAAACACACACACCAGAGAGAGAATTATAACAATACTCAACTGCACACACAAAAAGGTTAGTAAAGGGTTCATTTATTAGGGGAACTGAGGAAATATTTCTGGGAGAAAGGGAGGGAGATACATTGGTAATGCATCCTACCAGTTCCACCAACCTGGAATCCCAATGGCTGCTGAGAGCCTGTGACAGCCAAGAGCCAAAAAGAACAGGAGGGGCAGGAGGGGCAGGAGGAGCTGGAGGGGCAGGAGGGGCAGGAGGAGCTGGAGGGGCAGGAGGGCCAGGAGGGCCAGGAGGGCCCGGAGGAGCAAGCTTAAAGCCAAAACCAAGAGCCCCAAGGCCCACATGTCTGGTTTAGACCAAACCTGGCTGCTTAACTCCACCCTCAGGTCCCAGCATCCCCTCAGTGACGATGGGATTGTAATTTCCCTGCATCCTGTGGCTCTGGTTTGCAGTGGGGTGGGGTCCACAACACCTGTGAAGTTCCTTCAGGGCATTCTTTGCCCCTAACTTCTCCAGGGTCAGACTGTCCATGGACACATCCCCCACCCCAGCTCTCCTGCCCGCTCCATCCTGTGCAGACCCCTGTCCCACAGCCTCAGTCCTGCCTCCCGGGGCCTGGGGCCTGCTCACCTGGGCCTGGACCCCTCCCCTCACCTTGGCCTCTCTCCTGTCCCCAACCCTGATGTTGATTTTCCTGTGTCCTGTTCTCTGTGTCCATCCCTTCTGTCTCACTTTTGCCCACCAGTGTCCTTTGCCTACTAGAGGAGGGACGTGGGAAGTGACCCCTGAGGCCAGAACAACTGAAGTGATTTCTGAGCCCCAGCGCTTCCCCTCATCTGGACCTGACCTGGGGTCTGGGCTGACCCCCTCAGGGCTGGGCAGGCCTGGTCAGCCTCTGTCTGAAAGTCCCTAGTGGCGGGTCACAGTGTGGGGCTGCCCGTCCCCTTTCTGTGGGTGTCACTTTGTTATAGCAGCAGTCTTCTTTCACAGTCTCAGGTGAGGGGTGCAGCCTGTATAACCCACACTCACCCCATTCTCACTCTGTGTCCTGGGGTTTCCAGGGAACATTCAGCATCATCCTGCTCCATGACAGTCTCCACCGACTCCCCTGGACTAACTCTCCCCAGGCCCCAGGACGGGGTGTGATGGCTCCCACCCTCCTGCTGCTGCTCTGGGGGTCCCTGGCCCTGATGGAGACCTGGGCAGGTGAGTACGGGGTCCAGCTGGAAACTGCTGCTCCAGGAGGGAGGAGTAAGGACACTCACTGCAGGTGCAGGACACCATTAATGGCTTATCTCCGCTACCTCTTATACCCCTCAGGCCCTGTTGTGTTCTGGCCCTTCTCTCCCTCCCTGCCTCCCCTGATGCCCTGTTCTCCCTGAGTCTGGGCCCTACTTAGCCATTGCCCCTTTTCTGCCACCCAGGCCCAACTTCCTGGGAGCTGGGCCCAGCACTGTGAGGTGGGTCAGCCCAGGTCTTCACCACCCCTCCCTCAGGCTCTCACTCCCTGAGGATTTTCTCCACCGCGATGTCCCGGCCTGGCCTCGGGGAGCCCCGCTTCATCGCCGTGGGCTACGTGGACGACACGCAGTTCGGATGCTTTGACAGCGACTCTCCGGGCCAGAGGGCGGAGCCACGGGCGCCCTGGGCGGAGCAGGTGGGGCAGAAGGTTCTGGACGAAGAGACTCGGATCCAAAGGAAAGAGGCTCAGAGGCTCACAGTGCTCCTGAAGGACCTGCACAGAAATTACAACCAGAGCGAGGACGGTGAGCTTCGTGGAGCCCTCTGGGAATCAGCTCACCAGCCCCATTCCACCCTAAGGCCAGGGTGTCCAAGTCTCAGCCTGATACCTCGAGGCTGGAGGACCTGCCAGGCCCCTCACCCCGGGAAGACCCTCAGGACCAGAGGGTCTCTGCACCTGCAGTTTCATGTTCAGTTTAGCTTGATTCAGGGGGAGAGGGCAGGTGACCCATGGCTGACATAGGGTGGGGTTCAGGGTCTCACACCCTCCAGAGGATGTTTGGCTGCGACGTGGGGCCAGACGGGCGCCTCCTCCGCGGGTTCGAGCAGT